GAACTTAACCTCAAGGTCCTTTTGGAGAAATGGCGGGGCATCAGCACGCAATGTATCCCGTAACCTCTTGCGATGTCATAAAATCGTACGAAAACTCGTAAAGCCTAAATTACTGTTGAAATGCGATGCCCATACGGTGCACGTATACTGCCAATACCCTTTTCGTACGGCGTCTGAGCGGAGGTAGACTTTTACATGTTTTATGTCGATGGTACTAGTACATGAACAAGTTTTGATTTAAGGCCTTGTAATGAATATATAAATATACTCGGCGTAGCCCGTAGCTCTTTACGATTAAAAAAATCGTACGGACAGTTTCATCGTACGGCGCCGCCCGCGTAAATGTAATCCGGGCTTAAACGAATTCATAGCACGGTGCTCGAGGCAATTGGAATCAAGGTTTTTAATATCGGCTAACAATAAATCTTTAATCATATCATATCATGATATTGGTTATGTACTTGTAATTATGCTAAATTTAGCTAAAATCATGAAAAATATATAACTTGTAATGTACTTAACGTCAAAACATTTTAAATAATTTCAGTGACTAGATAAGAATCCTGGTGGCAAAATGCATTCTGGTTGCGAAATGCGTTTTCTCGATTTTCTTAGTTGCAAAATGCGTTTGGTTTGCAAAATGCGGCTATACAATTGCATTCATAGACGGGGTCCCGGGCATTCAGCCTTTGGGTTCAGGCAATTGCATGCACTGAAGTTCCCGGATGGAGCGTTTGCCAATGGATCCAGAGTTACGTTCGGGAGCAGGGTTGCTGAAAGAAGTGCCCCTGCATAACGGAGACTACGGTCACGGTCAGTGTACCAAAGATTTTTCACGCCACGAACTGTTTACGTCTAAGAAGTATCTGACGGAATCCTAAATATATTAAGACTATACATCTAGATCATCTGACCAATCGAACCCCACTTACCATGCGGGGCCCTGCGCGGTGTTTTCTTTCTTTTAACAAAAATACCCTGCCCCTGATCCGCAGGCTAATAATCGTGTATTACTTTGTGCTTAAAAAAAAAACATCCCCTAGGTTGCTGAGATCGAAGATCGAAGCTGTGCATGGTGACAAAAGTGATTGTCCAAGCTCAAATTGGTCGTTCTTGCGCGGTGGCCTCACTCTACTTTGATCGCTCTACTCTGGTACAGGGATTTTGGGGTGTAAGTACTTGATAACAGCGGTTTTTAAAAGCGGTTCCTCCAAAACGGTTGTGTGTTTAAAGCAGCAAAGAGTTAAATAATTAGACTAATTAACGAAGTAATGAAAGACGAAATTAAACACTAAACTCAGAAACTAAGGCGGCGGTGGTGTCGAAGAGGGGCTTGGCAAAGGAGGCGGCAGCGAAGTATAATAAACAGTCTGTATAATGTCTTCCAATTAGATGGGTGGCAAACGGGAAAACATTGTAATTAGGAACATATGGCACTACATGTGCATGAAGTTTATGTCCAACTATTACGCTGGTAGCAAAATATATATACAGCGCTGTTTGTGTCAAGTATGTAGTAGTAATGGCGACCCTGATTCCAGGATAGCGGGTCATTGCGGACATGTTCTCTTCCCTTTGGTTCTGAATTAACCCTTTCTATCCCCCTAGAATGAAAAAAATGACAAACATCTTTCATTCCCCTTGTGAAACAAAATAATTATCCAAATTCTTGAGACATAAATAATTTCCATTCTTGCCTAATATAGAATACAATTCTGCACTTCAGGCATTTCACTTACTTCCTAAAATTATTGGTCAGAGATTTTGCAAATATCAAATCATCATGAAAAGTAGGGCAAAGGTCAAATGCAAGGCACAGTCAGATTGCCAATATATGACCCCTCGTCAAGTTCAATAGTAACTATGGGCGTACCTCTGCTAATTTTGGAGTATTTCACATTTCATTTTCACCACTGAATATTGCGACGTTGTGCTTTTTTGATAAAGCGCAACTCTTTAACCGTATGGAAAAATCTTTCAGTATTACGGTTGACAAGTTCTACAAAATGCAACAAACAAGAGGTCTTTACCCGGTAGCATTTACGGTTCCTGAGTTATCAGTTTTGGTACCCCTGTACCAGTGACCCCCCTCCCTCCAGATGGTAAATAAGAAATGAAGAAAGGGGATTGAAAAGGAGGCTTTGTAAAATGCCGACAAAAAATAAATATTGTTGCGAGAGTAAAGGCAATAGCTCATGTTTAGATTAGTTATTCAGTTATATTTTACAACTAAACTGATTTTCAAGTCTGATAGTTATAGATGTAAAATGACGTTAACTCTTGATCCTCAATTAGCATATGAAGGTATTGTTTTATATTCTTAATTTCTCACCATTCACATTTTAATGCTATTCATAATTTAAATGAACACGTGCCTGTATTTCTTTGTATATTACACGTATGGTAATATATGCAAATAACTATAACGAGTGAAGTGTAGGTTATTGCTACTTGAACGTCTCGCATGTGTAACTTATTTTATTTTCTTACTGTATCGGTACAGCAACAGTTGTTGAGGGTGTTAGTTCTAGTGTATTGTTTTGGTTTTCATGCTAGATGGACTATTTTGGGGATGAAATTGATCTAAATTACAACATCGTTTTTTCATAATATATTTCCTTGGAATCTCTAAAGAGTTAAAACAAAGCTCGAGAATAACCCTGCATGTAAAACATGGTAGTCAATTACTATACGAATATACATTGTCATATAGACTGCCCTGCTAAGACGTGTGTCACTCCATTTCTGCACATTGTTACAACAGTACCCATGGCTTTTATTGAATTAATTAACGAATAGGCAACTGATCATAGTGAAAACGAGTTCTATATTTAACTAATATGGCTTTTAAGTGAGAAGGTTACAATTTCGACAATACAGCTGATAAAGGCGAATTTTTTTTCGTACCGCAGAATTACCAACATACTGGGCATTTCCACAAATAATCAGTCAGAGGGTTAGACGATGTCATTACCAAACAGGGATATTGGCAAGATTGCTTAGGTCAGGACAACCTATGGGGCCACACCCAGGGATGAGATAGTAATCATATCCCTACTCGTAGAGAACGCTTCGTGACATTAAGTAACTTGACAGCAAAAAGTAAAAAAAGTGCAAACCATGTTTCTATGTTTTCCGGTGGTAGACACCTGAACAACCACAGTTATTTTGGCAGGAGTGGCGGTAGAAGAACAATGATAATCGCCATGGCCCGCCTTCAAATATTATGATGGCGTATCAGAATTCTCGAGCGGACACCAGGCAGTCTATGACTTAACAATTGATGATATTGCTCTCAGATGACAGCAGGTTATGTGTTGGCAGAAGTCATGGGCTGGTGGAGACATGGGTTTTCAGGACGGTTGGTGAGAAGTTTTTTTTTTTTTTTTGTTTGTTTTTTTTTCCGAATTATCTGCCACTGGTGGACAGGACTAACCGAAAATCAGTTATGTGGTATGGTGTGTGCGTTTTGGCTACCACTGGGTCGGGGAGTTGGAAGTGATCAACTGGAATCGTAAATATTCATTAGTCGTACAATTGGTAAAATTTAATAAAAAAATCCATCAAGAAGCTGAAAAAAGCATTGGGTAATGACTTGTTTATTTGCATTTCGGATTTATTAAAAGTAAAGAGATGCATACATGTATAAACAGGCGTTTAGTTGGGTAAAATAATGTAGTAGTAAGAGGCAAGGCTATATGTGTCAGAGGGTTTATATTCAATGTACATGTAATTTTGGATTTATCACGTTTAACACGCATGCATTAATCTTTTTCACTATGATACTTTAAACATTTCCAGTCAGTGCAATAGGAAAAAAATATGTAGCTATTTTGTCCAGGTGGACCCTTATTATGCTTTTGAGGATCTGTTCTTATGGCGAACACCTGACTCCAGCATCTTCCGAATGTGTACAGTCGTGTGATCCCCATCCGCCGTGGGGACAGTCTTTCAGGGATCTCTCTCTGCCAGTACAAGCCAATTCGTCCATATGAATGGATCCAGAACCTCGACCAAACTTAGCACTACCGACTGCAGTTGCGCTACGGTCGCTACAAAAGCAATTATATTGCGCTTAAGCTTCCAACATAAAAATGGTTATCGAATATTATAGATATAACAGAAGGTTTCAGATGAGTTATCTTAAAATACAGTTGTGCTCCTGTGGGTTTAATTAAATAACTAGAAATCCTTTGATCAAATACAGTTTCAGAAATTCCAGGTGTACTAATTAAACAGAGTTTTATGACATAACCAAGTATAAAGTTCCAGGCATAATCTGGATGAGAAGTCACAAGATACTCACAAAGTATTACCGACTTTACCCAAGTACTTTTCGTTATGAGGGGGTGTGCCAGTCAACCCGAACGAAATTAAGCGCAAATCACCAAGGAGTTAGATAGTTTCTGCTGGTAAGATAGGGTTGTAGGAATGGTCCCTTAAAACAAACAATGTACTTACCTGTAACCAAGCATTCTGCAGGCCACACGAGCATCGTTGTTATCCCAGCTGTCATCACAGACAGTGCCCCATTCACCGTTGTAGAACACCTCAACTCTTCCCTCGCCAGAACGAGAACCACCCACCAATCTTATAACTGCAAAGAATTGTGGAGGACGATAAGCAAATTTTCTATAAGCACTACATATTTGCTAACGCACTGTGTCACACAAAACAGGACATAAAAATCGTGCCCAGCTCAAAAATCATTTAAACACCATTATAATACCCCTTCGGGTCCATGGCAAAAATAATATAAATACCATTTTGTAGCATGACTTAAAGTTGTTAATTAAGGATCTGTCTATTCACCCACCAGGCCCTGCAATGACACATCTGACACCAGCATCCTCAGAGTGACCACAATTGTGTGTCCCCCAACCTCTGTGTCCGCAATCTTGGATAGAAGTTTCACTTCCGGAGCAGGCGACGTTATCCATAAGAATGGGACCAGTGCCTTGACCAAAACGAGCGCCGGAAAAGGAAACAGAGCCACTGGGACTGGAATTTGTAAGCCACGTCAAACTAGAGGATCAGAGAGGCGATACTGCCTCCGGGTATTGTACAACCAGCTGCGAGAAACAAAAAAGGTACACAACATCCGGTGTTATGCTTCACAAGTTCTACAAAATACATGAAAACAAGAATTATCAATATTTTGTTGAAAACGACAATTTATAACAGAATTATGGGAAAAAAAGTTCAAATCTAACTTTGTGAAATGTGGTTCATGGCTAAAAGTATGGGAAATGCCATTTTTAAGGTGTTGCCAGTTTTATGATTTCCCATTCAAGTGGAAAAGTAACTGCCATATTTGGAGATATACCGTACTCGGATTAAGAATGTGTACATTTACCCCGTGGACCATTTGAAGATTACACTGCGATTAATGCGGTGGAAAATACAATAGAGAGAGTGTATAATGATT